TCCTGCAGCAGTTGTCTTCACCACTTTGTCCCCATACCCTCAGCCCCAGAGCAGGCTGAGTTGGGGGATCCTATGACCCTGCAGATAGAAAAAGGATGCTTGAGGGGCAAGCTGAGCTCCCTTTCTGGGGGGGTGGCTGGCTGGCCGCTGGTTGGGCACACCAAGGGTGATGTTTCTTTGATTTCTTTCTTGGCTTCTTTATCATTTGTATATAGGACGGTTACTGATTTTTTTCAGTTGATATTGTATCCTCCCACATTACTGAAGGTATTTATCAGCTGTAGGAATTCCTTAGTAGAGTTTTTGGGGTCTCTTATGTATACTATCATATCATCTGCAAATAACAAAAGTTTGATTTCTTCCTTTCTAATTTTAATTCCCATGACCTCCTTTTGTTGTCTTATTGATCTAGCCAGAACTTCAAGAACCATGCTGAATAGATATGGAGAGAGTCCAGAGTCTTGTCTTGCTCCTGATTTTAGTGGAATTACTTTGGGTTTCTCTCAATTTAATTTGAGGTTGATTGTTAGCTTGCTGTATATTGATTTTATTATGTTTAGATATGTTGATTGTTTCCCTGATCTCTCCAAGACCTTTATCATGAAGGGGTGTTAGATTTTGTCAAATGCTTTTTCAGCATCTAATGAGATGATCAAGTGGTATTTATCTTTCAGTTTGTTTATATGGTGGATTACACTGGTAGATTTTCATATGTTGAACCATCCCTACACCTCTGGGATGAAGCTGACTTCATCATGTTGGACAGTTTTTTTGAGGTTTTCTTGGATTCGGTTTTCCAGTATTTTATTGAATATTTTTGCATCTATGTTTATGAGTGAGATTGGTCTAATTCTCTTTCTTGGTTGAGTCTTTGTGTGGTTTTAGTATCAGGGTAACTGTAGCCTCATAAAAAGAGTTTGGCATTGCTCCTTCTGTTTCTATTATGTGAAACAGTTTGAGGAGTATAGATATTAGTTCTTCTTTGATATTCTGGTAGAATTCTGTACTGAAACCATTGGACCCTGGGCTTTTTTTTTTTTGGTTGGGAGGCTTTTGATGACTGCTTCTATTTCCATGCAGGTTTAGATCTATTTAAATTATCTGCTTGGTCTTGATTTAATTTTGGAATGTGGTACCTATCCAGAAAATTGTCCAATTTTCTAACATTTTGCAATTTTGTGGAGTACAGGTTGATGTAGTATGACCTAATAGTTCTCTGAATTTCCTCAGTGCTTTTGTTATGTCCCTTTTTCTTTTCTGATTTTGTTAATTTGGATGTTCTCTCTGTGTCTTTTGATTATTTTGATTAAGGGTTTGTCTACCTTGTTGATTTTCTCAAAGATTCAACCCATTGTTTCATTGATTCTTTGTATTGTTTTCTTTGTTTCTATTTTATTGATTTCAGTCCTCAATTTGGTTATTTCCTATCTTCTACTCCTCCTGGGTGAGTCTGTTTTATTTGTTCTAGAGCGTTCAGATGTGCTATTAAGTCACTAATGTGAGCTTTCTCCATTTTCTTTATGTGGGCACTTAGTGCTATGAACTTTCCTCTTAGCACTACTTTCATAGTGTCCCATACGTTTGGGTATGTTGTGTCTTCATTTTTGTTAAATTCTAAGAAGTCTTTAATTTGTTCTTTATTTCTTCCTTGACCCAGGGGTGGTTCAATAGAGCACTGTTTAATTTTTGTGAGTTTGTGGGCTTTCTGAAGTTAGTGTTGCTGTTGAATTCTAATTTTAAACCATGGTGATCCAAAAAGATACAAGGGGTTACTCCAGTTTTTTGTATCTGTGGAGGTTTACTTTGTTTCCAAGTATGTGATCAATTTTAAAGAAGGTTCTATGAGGTGCTGAGAAGAACGTGTATTCTTTTGTGTTTGTGTGGAATGTTCTGTAGATATGTTAAGTCCATTTAATTCATGACATCTGTTAGTTATTTTATTTCTCTTGTAAGTTTCTATCTGGTTGACCTGTCCATTGGGGAGAGTTGGCTTGAAAGGTGTTTAAGTCTCCTACTATTAATATGTGTGGTTTGATGTCGATTTCAGCTTTAGTAATGTTTCTTTTACATATGTGAGGTTTTTTTTTATATTTGAGTCATAGATGTTCAGGATTGAGACTTCATCTTGATGGATTGTTCCTGCTGTGACTATAAAGTATTCTTCTCCATCCCTTTTGGTTGATTTTAATTTGAAATCTATTTTGTTAGATGTTAGGATAGCTACATATGCTTGTTTCTTAAGTCCATTTGATTGGAAAATCTTTTCCCAACCCTTTACTCTGTCTGAGGTATTGTTTGTCTTTGAGGTTGAGGTGTGTTTCCTGTAAATAGCAGAAGGATGAATCCTGTTTTTTCATATCCATTCTCTTAGCCTGTGTCTTTTTATAGGCAAATTGAGTCTATTGATATTAAGAGATATTAATGGCCAGTAATTATTAGTTCCTGTTATTTTTCAGTGGTAGTAGTCATGTGTTTCCCTTCTTTGGGACTTTATGGTGGAGAGTTATCTGTTTTTGTGGGTGAAGTTAGCTTCCTTGGGTTGGGCTTTTCCTTCTAGTACTTTCTGTAGGTCTGGATTTGTGGATAGGTATTGTTTAAATCTGGTTTTGTCATGGAATATCTTGTTTTCCCTATAAATGGTGATTAAAAGCTGTGCTGGATATAGTAGTCTGGGCTTGCATCCATGGTCTATAATTTCTGCAACATATCTGTCCAGGATCTTCTGACTTTCATGGTTTCCATTGAGAAGCTGGGTGTAATTCTGATAGGTCTACCTTTATATGTAATTGACCGTTTTTTTATTTGCACATTTTAATATTCTTTCTTTATTTTGCATGTTTTGCTTTTTTATTTTTATATGGTGAGAAGCCTTTTTTATCTATTTTGTGTTTTGTAAATTTCTTTTACCTTCATGGGGATATCCTTCTTTAGATTAGGAAAGTTTTCTTTTATGATTTCATTGACTATATTTTCTGTGCCTTTGAGCTGGAGTTTTTCTCCTTCTACCCCTATTATTCTTAGTATAGGTCTTTTTATGGTGTCCCAGAGTTCCAAGATGTTTTGTGTTGAGAATTTACTCAATTTAATGTTTTCTTTTACTGATGAATCTATTTCCTCTATAGTATCTTCAACATCTGAGATTCTCTCTTCCATCTTTTGTATTCTGTTGTTTATGCTTGCCTCTATAGTTCCTATTCATTTACCCAGATTTTTTATATCCAAAATTCCCTTGCTTTATGTTTTCTTTATTGTCCCTATTTCATTCTTCAAGTCTTGAACAGTTTTCTTCACCTGTTTGATTGTTTTTTCTTGGTTTTCTTGGGTTTCTTTGAGAGATTTATTAATTTCTTCCAATTTTTGTTTGTCTTTTCCTCCATTTCTTTAAGGGAGTTTTTTATTTCCTCTTTAAAGGTCTCAATGATCTTCATAAAGTTAAGTTTAAAATCGTTTTATTCTACTTCTTGGTTAGGATGATCAAGTCTTCCTGTTGTATGACCACTGGGTTCTGGTGTTACCATGTTGCTTTTTAGGTTGTTGGATGAATTCTTGCATTGGCGCCTGTCCATCTCTTCCTTCAATTGATGCTGGCAGTATCTTTGTGTCTTGGTCCAATCCCTGCAGTGGCTGTCTGTGTCTTGGGAACTATTCTTAGTCTTCTCTGTACTGTCACTGTCTGTGTCTCAGGGAGCCACTGAGGTCTCTCTCGGCCCTCTCTCTTGGCCTTCTCCCTTGATCTTCTCTCCTGGTTCACTCTCTTGGTCCACTCTGTGTAGTCACAGCTTGTGCTTCAGAGCTTGTCTCTTGGTCCTCTCTCTCGGTCATCTTTGTGTAGTTGCAGCTTGTGTTTCAGCATTCCTCCAAGGTTGCAGGGTGGGGCCATTTTGGAAGGTTTAGAGGCCAAGTGAGACTTGGAGCTTTCAGGGTCCAATGGATGGGATGGAGAATTTGGAACAGCCTACCTGAAGGAAAGTCCCCTGCTGGCTGGCTAGAAAAGCAGAGGCAGGTGGGGGAGGGGCCCAGGTTTTGCTCCTGTATGGAGGGCCTAAAGAGTGGGGTGTCATGCCTAGTGGCTGAGCACTCACCTCTTGGTCCTCTCTGTGTAGTAGTGGGCTGTATTTCAGAGTCCCACTCACTGAAAACTGATGGAGGAAGGTCATTGGTTAAATAAAAAGAAACTGCTTGGCCCTCATTGGTTAGAAGATAGGTGGGAGGAGTAAACAGAACAGAACGCTGGGAGGAAGAGGAAGTGAGCTCAGACTCCACAGCTGTCCTCTCGGGAGCAGACACCTCAGAGAAAAGCCATGCCCCGCTCCTGGGCAGACACACGCCATGAAGCTCCGACCCAGGATGGAATAGGCTAGAATCTTCCCAGTAAGACCGGTTCTCACAGATTATTAGAGATGGGTTGATCGGAATGAGAATTAGCCTATAAGTGCTAGAGCTAAAGGGCCAGGCAGTGTCTAAAAGAATACAGTGTCCGTGTAATTATTTCGGGACATAAGCTAGCTGAGCAGGCGGCTAGGGTGCTGGGGACGTAGCCCTGCCGCTCTTATTACTACAGAAAACTCTTTATGCCTCACTCTGACACTGCTTATCTTGACTGAAAGTCAGGCGATGTATCTAATCATAGCAACATTCTGCAGGATTAAACTTCAGGGTCAGCTTTCTCTCCTGGCATCAAAGGCATCTTAGGTCATGATCTCTGAACAAGCTGTCTATAGTAGACACTGTGGGTCAGGGTATGTCTAAGAACTGATGGACAGGAGAATCAAACCTGGGCAAGAAGAGGTTGGCACATAATGAAGTTTCATTAGAAAATGTAGCCACGCACACGGCTCTCAAATTTAACCTAGCTCGATCTGTGACAGCCACAAGTTTAGGAAGCAGAATGAGCACGACTCCAAAGAGTGATACATGGTCATAGGGAAAGGAAAGCAGTGGATTGAGGAATTGCCGTAAGATAATGCACTGTATATACCATCCCTGCTTCCCCCCGACAGGTCTGTATGACACACCCAACCTCTGGGTTCATCCAGGACCTGAAGTAACCTTGGGAGAGAATGTGACCTTCTTCTGTCATCTGGATTCTGGGACAAGCAAATTCTTTCTGCTCAAGGAGGGAAGATCCAACCATGTCCAGCACAAACTTGGGAACATCAAAGCAGAGTTTCCCATGGGCCCTATGACCAGAGCCCACAGAGGGACATACAGATGTTTTGGCTCTTACAATGACCATGTGTGGTCTTTCCCCAGTAAACCTGTGACACTACTCATCCCAGGTAAGGACACTCCCACCTGTGTCTTAACCAGCCCTAGGGGATGCCCTTGACAGAGATTAAAAAGATGACAAAGAGTTCTTTGCTTTATAGAGATACAGCTGGCCAATCGGGAACCCCAGAGGGGCAGAGAAAGGTGAAGGAATAAAGGATATAGGAGGAGACATAAAATTCTCACCTTTTAAAATTGTTTTCCATTTCTAGGAGATGTTGATAACACCAGCCTTGCACCCACAGATCCTACTTCTCTTGGTGAGTCACTTCCAAATTCACCAGAAAAGAGCTGGAGAATTAGCTATTGGTAAAGTACTTAGTCTGAGAACCCAAGTTGGATTTACAACACCCATGTAAAATCCAGGCATGGTACCCCACATCTGTAATCCTGATGCTATAGAGGGGGGAATCAGTGTCAAGCCAGTCTAGTTGAATCAGTGATTTCAAGGTTTATTAAAAGACCCTGTCTCAAAAACTAAGATGGAGAGGATTTGAAAAAGGTATCCAATGTTGACCTCTGGCCTACTCACTCACACACACACACACACACACACACACACCATGGGAAAGATCAAACTTTTCTAATGACACTAAAATGAGGTATTTACTCATAACATCCATTTAATGTACATCACCCAGCTAGCAGCTGCTGCAGAGTCAGTCAGCCAAATATCCTTACCTTTGTGAAACTTATATTGTAGCAATAGGAAGCAAACCAAAAGACAAGTCAGAAAAAAATAAATAAATGTGTTCTCTAGCACATAAAGAGGGAAGCAGTGATATAGGAAAAGATAATGCATGAAATTGATCGGGGAGGAAGGCAACCATATGAAAGATGGTTTCCCAGAGTGGAAAGCATCTGAGATAAAAGCCACAGGGAAACTACTTGGAGGTACAAAGGGAGAGAGATGCATAACCATGTGGAAGATGATACAGAACTCCTGTGAGGCACTGGGGCAAAAAAACAGTTGTGTGGGCTAGTTTCATCTCAGTTTTTAAATTTGTATTAATTTTTTGAGAATTTCATGTGATGTTTTGATCATACTCAACTCCTACCAGATTCACCCCCTCACTACCCAACTTTTGTACCTTCACTTTTTTTAAAACTCATGAATATCTTGTGTGTGTAGCCTTCCACAAAAGTATGGTCAGTCTACCAGGGGACAAAAACTCTAAAGAAACCTACTCTTCCCTTGCTTAGCAGCTATCAAATGCTAATGGCTCCCCCTCTGGGGGTGAGACTTCACACCTATCTCCTCTTTCCATGTTGAGATTTGGTCTAGCTTGAGCTTGCACAGACTGCATAAATGCTAACATAATACCATGAGTTCGCATGTGCATCTGCCCTATGTGATCAGAAGACACTATTTCCTTGTAATCATCCACTACCTATGGCTCTTATAGTCTTTCCACCCCCTCTTCCACAATAATCCCTAATCCTTGGGAGAAGGGATGTGATAAAGCTCATTTAGGGCTGAGAATTCCACAGTCTCTCTTAGTCCCTGCTCCTTGAGCAACTACGGGTCTCTATTTTAGTTACCTTCTTCTCTGGTGGAAAATTCATTTCTGTTGCTGTGATAAGACACCCTGGTTAAAAGCAACTCTGAAAAAAGAAAGATTTATTTGGTCATCTCTGAGAGAAAGTCACAGCAAGAACTCAGGCAACTAGTTACATTACATCCACAACAAAGCACAGAAAGAAACAAATACTTCCATGCTACCTGTTTCTGCTTTCACCCAGCATTCTCCTGTCCTATGTCACTCATACAACCCTGCCCAGGGAATGGTGATGTCCACAATAGACTGGGTCTTCACACTTCGATTATTAATAAAAGCAATACCACAGAGACATGCCCACAGGCCAAACTGATCTAGATAAATCCTCACTTCAGCTATCTTTTCAGACAGTTCTAGATTGTGGCGAATTGACATTTAAAACAGAGCATCATAGGAGTGGTGATGGAGAAGGGGTGGAGCTTACTTCAGATGGTGAAAAAAATGTCATGTGTGAATTTGTCTCATGTGAAAAGGAGATTTATATTGAATGAATGATGAAAATGAGGCTTCCCCAGAGTTTCTGTCTAGCATGACCATACATTAGTACTCTGTGTGAACCCATACTTAAGTACATCCATTCCTTTACTAGTCTACTCTATTTCCAGATGAAGCTCTGAGGACTTGGGTTTCTAGGTGGAAACCAACGTTGCAAAGCCATGAGATGCCATGAGGCCTATACAGAAAAAGAAATGTTTCAAAGGAAGGATCCAACACCATTGTTCATTCATCCCTTCTTCTTTTCCTTATCCTCAGATTATTGGGAGTACAGCCTTTCAGCCGAAGAAGAATCAGGATTACAGAAGGGTAAGTGAATATCTAGAAGCATAGATTCTGAAGAAAGGCACAGGGAAAAGCAGGAATGTCAAAGAAGAAGAGGGAGGATGGGGTGGGTGTGTAGCCTCTGCCAACAGTGACTCTGTCTTCTGACTCCAGACTTTGCCTTCTGGGATCATACAGCCCAAAATCTCATTCGGATTGGTCTGGCATGCATAGTCCTGATGACTCTAGTATGGCTTTTGGTTGAAGACTGGCTCAGCAGGAAGAGGGATAAAGAGGGGGCCAACAGATCACCAAGTCGGGAGTACAAGAGAAGATGGAGAGTCCAACATTCCCTTGAAGAGGAACAAAGGAATGCAATTTCAATGCGGGAACTGAAGGCAACTCCTGGACCTGGGGCCATATGAGCTCTATGCTGCCCCTGGAGGAAGGAAGGCATCATTGCACGAATGAAGGGGTAGAGTCAGGCAAAAACATCCTAAAAGGGCGTGGTGAGATGAAATGTCTAAGTTTCTACTATAGACAAATTCTCTGTCTCTGTTAAATATTAAGCTTAAAGTTTATTTACTTCAAGCTATACTTTTAAATACTCTGGTCTTTCCTAGAAAAAAACTACCTTCCAAAAAAAAAAAAATGTTGGCCATGGGAATATTTCCTTACTACTTTGTCTTTAGCATTTTTTCTAATTTTATTTATTAATGTGTACTGGTATATTTGTCCATGTATGTTTGTGAACCATGTAATGTAGCTAGTGTCAGATCCCCAGGGACTCAAGTTACAGATGTCTGTGAGCTGCTCTGTGGGTGCTGGGAATGGAACACAAGTCCTCTGGTAGAGCAACAAGTGTCCTGAACAACCAAGCTGTTGCAGCGTATTTGTTTACACTGTGTAAAGATGTTTCACTGTAATTGGTTTTAAAAAGAGCTCAATAGCTAGGCAGGAGAGAATAGGCGGGACTTCTGGACAAAGAGAAAAGTTTGAGATGAATCTCTGTGCATAAGAAACACCAGGAAGACACGGAACAAATCAGACATACAGAATGGAAGAGAGATAAAAGCCACCTGGCAAAGCATAGATTAGTAAAAGCAGGATAATTTTAAGTTATAAGAGCTAGTTGGAAAAAAAAGCCTAAGGTAAGGCAAAGCTTTCATAATTAAATAATAAGTCTCCATGTTGTTATTTGTTAACTAGCAATCCAAAGAAAGACTAGCTATACTGGGCCTTATCTCCATCTCCATCCTCAATTCAACTTTTGTATTGTGTGTCCATGTGTGAGGTACATGGGTGCACACATATGTTACGTCACTCATATGAGGTCAGAGGACACCTTTGTGCAGTTTTCTCCTTCCAATTATTTTAAAACATTATTTCTTTTGTTTTCTGATGTAATACAATTATATCTCCCCCTTCCTCCCTTCAAACCCTCACATCCCTCCTTGCTCTATTTCAAATTCATGACCTCTTTTTTTCATTAATTGTTGCTACATATATATGTATATACATACATGTTCCTAAATACATAAGATTTTTGTGGGTTCCAATGCTTGAACACAGACTGTTAGACATATACAGCAAGTGTTTTTAACCTACTGAGCTTTCGCCTTGCTAATCTATCATTATTTCTTTCTTCTTTCTTTTGTCTGCAAGAATTCCTTTCAAAATAAGTACTGAACAACAATACCAATAAGTAGACATATACTGTCCTAGCTAAAATTATGTCAACTTGATACAAGTTAGAGTCATTCTGAAAGAGGGAACCTCAGTTGAGAAAATGTCCCCACAATATTGGCTTGTAGGAAAGCCTACAGTGCATTTTCTTGGATGATGAGAGATGTAGAGGGCCCAGCCCACTGTGGGCAGTGTCATTCCTAGACTGGCAGTCCTGGGTTCTGTAAAAAAGCAGGCTGAAAAATGAGAAAAAAGACAGTAAGTACCACTCCTCCCTGGCCTCTGCATCAGCTCCTGCCTTCGGGTTCCTGTGTTGATTTATCTCAACAATGATCTGTGGTATGGAATTGAAAAATGAAATAAACCCTTTTCTCCCCAAGTTACTTTTGGTCATGGTATTTTATCACAGCACCAGAAACCCCAACTAAACATGTATGAAATGTTTCAAAAACTATTGCAACCACAACATACAATTAGAAAAGCAAAGTAAGAACAAATAATTCCGAGATAAAGGTGTGTCCTAGCTGATTCTCACCCAATCCTTGGTTTCCCCCACCTATATACCATGTGGGTCCTAGGGATTGAACTTGTGATCACCCTTGGTGTCAAGTGACTTTTCTTTTTTTTTTTTTTTTTTGTTTTTCGAGACAGGGTTTCTCTGTAGCTTTGGAGCCTGTCCTGGAACTCCCTTGGTAGACCAGGCTGGCCTCGAACTCACAGAGATCCGCCTGTCTCTGCCTCCCAAGTGCTGGGATTACAGGAGTGCGCCACCACCGCCTGGCTTCTTTTTTTTTTAAGATTTATTTATTAATTATGTATACAGCATTTTCCCTAGATATATGCTGCAGACCAGAAGAGGGCACCAGTTCTCATTACAGATCGTTGTGAGCCACCATGTGGTTGCTGGGAATTGAACTCAGGACCTCTGGAAGAGCAGTCAGTGCTCTTAACCTCTGAGCCATCTCTCCAGCCTGTCAAGTGACTTTTCCATCTGAGCCACTGCACCTTCCCTTGATATTATAGCACCAGAACCCTGTTAGTGCTCAAAATGTCCATGATCCCATCTGTAGTATAGGTTTCATGTGAAATGAGTTGATCAATTTGGTGATTATATTATCAGTCCTCAAGAAGATACCAGGAAACACACTGAGTGAGTGGGCACATGAATACAACATGGAACTTGAGACTCCTGCATCTTGATATGAGGTAGAGGGTCCCACAGCTCTTTCCTTCTTGAACTATTTGACTACTCCAATAATATACTAATATGGATCATCATTCCCTACTATACAGACACATCAGGCATGTAAAACCCATCTCTAAAGCTAAGTTTACTGTTAAGGATATTCCTAAACCCAAAGAAATGCTATAAGGTGCTTTATTGTTATTCTTTTCTGATTGGTTGGTTAGTTGGTTGATTGGTTTAGGCTATTTTGTTTTATTTTGTTTTGTTTTGTTTTGTTTTGTTTTTTGAGACACAATCTCACTATGTGGTTCAAGATGCCCTCAAATGCGGGGAGGGCCTTGGACTTCCCACAGGGCAGAGTACCCTACCCTCACTTAAGACTGGAGGGGGAGGGAGGGAGGTAAGTGGGGGAATAGGAGGGGAATGGGAGGAGGGGAGGAAGTGGAAATTTTTAATGGAAAAATAAAAATATAAAAAAAAAGATGCCCTCAAATTCTTGATCCTCCATCCTCGGCCTCCCAAGAGTTGGGATTACAAACATGTGCCACTATTCCTGGTTTGATACAAAGATGTAATGAGGAGTGATATTTAGAAAGTAGCCTAAACTCTGGCGTACATGTCACTCACTGCACTGTAGGCAACTGATGGTTGTTTGTATCCATTACCAGGGGGATTCCAAATTAAATTTTCTTCTCCCTATTGGTAGAACTTTCTAACTTATATAGATCAAATTATAATCTCCCAACACCCTATTCAACCCAAGATTAAATGGATTGGTTTGGAGTGAGTTTATGACATGTTAAAATTTCCCTATTCTAGTTTATGTCAAGGAACCAGTCATCTTAAACAAAATAGTATGTAAGTTAGGAATATTTTATAGCCCTCTACCTAGAATCAGAACTTGGTTTTGGTAAAACAGCCTCCTCAAGGGAATGAAGATGGTGGTCCTGACCAGCCCTAACCCTGTGCTCTTAACTCATCCTAATAAAAATCTCTCAAACTTATCACAAGCAATACCCAAGAGCTCTACCGTATTTAAATTTTGTAATATACTGAACATGATATCTTAAACATAAAAATGAAGGATACAGAGAAAACACCTTCAGTTGCTAAGTTAAATTATATACAAAACTTCAGAACCCACGCAAATGCCAGATGTACATAGAAGCCCACCTATAATTTCAGCCTCAGAAGGTGGACATAGAAAGTCCCTAGAGCAATCAGATGGAAGACTAGCCATATCAACAAACTCTATGGAGAAGAGATAGGGGATATGGGCCACTGAAAAAAAAACGATGAATAAAAAGACCATAATGAAACCCATTAATTGTATGCTAACTTTAATATGTGGGGGAAGGGAGGGTACCTATAAGTTTATATGTGCACTGCATGCATGAAGTACTTGTGGAATCCAGAAGAGGGTATCAGACCTCTCCAAACTGGAGCTACAGGTAATTGCTAACTACATGATATGGTTGCTAGGGACTGAACCCAGGTCATTTGGAAGGGCAATACACACTTTTTTTTCCACCAATTTATCTCTCCAGATCTCCTGTATACTAACTGAAAAACTCATACAAACACTTAAAATGATTTTATGCAGTTTTTATTTCTTTTATTAAATGTGTGTGCACACACACACTCCACATCACACATGTAGATGTCAGAAGACAACCTGCAGGAGTTGGTTCTCTTCTACCACCATGTAGGACCTAACTCAGGGCATCAGGCTTGTCTGCAATCACCTTTGCCCACTGAACTATTTCATTAGCCCTTGTGAAAATTTTTGTAAAAATTATTTCTTAGACTTTGGCCCCACCGCCCTCTTTCAGCACATAACATCACCCAGCCCAGCCTGTCTGGGCACTGGGTCTGAATCCTCGGGGCACCCAAGGGGGTGAGAGTTCCTTTGCTTCTATGGCCTGCCTGCACCAAGCAGGGTAGGCGCTTTGTTTGCAAGCTGCCCCATCAGCACGAAGGCCTGATCTCTCTGCGCCAGGAGAGCCAGCATTGCGGTGAGTTTCTGCCCCCTCTCCCCGCGCCAGCCTGGGACAGGGAGCTCAGAGGTTCCTTGGCCCCCTATCCTTCCTGGTCTCTCTGCAGGGCCTCTCCTCCCTGCATACCGCCTCATTCTTCCTAGCCCACCAAGCTTCCATCCAGAACCCTCCCCACTTCGGCCCCACCGCCCTCTTTTGGCACATAACATTACCCAGACCAGAATGTCTGGGCACTGGGTAAGAATCCTCGGGGCACCCAAGCGGGTGGGAGTTCCTTTGCTTCGATCACCTGCCTGCACCAAGCAAGGTAGGCGCTTTGTTTTACAAGCTACCCAACCAGCACAGAGGCCTGACCTCTCGGCGCCAGGATAGCCAGCGTTGGGGAGAGCCAGCATTGGGGCACCAGGAGAGCCAGCATTGGGGAGAGCCAACATTGGGGAGAGCCAGCTTTGGGTAGGCAAGGAGACCTGATCCAGTAAAAGAAGATCCATAAGGGAGCATTTGGAAGAAGAGATGGGCAGACGCCAAGGCAAGAATTCGCCCAACAAGCTGAAAA